AAAAAAAAAGGGAAAGAAAGAAAGAAATTTTCACCAATAGCACCGTGAGGAAATGGTGAAAAGAACCCCCATCGGGAAGTGAAATACGACAGGAAACCAAAAACTCCCAAGAAGTGGAAGGAGCCAGGTCTCTGATTGTGTGCCTATAGAAGAATGAGCCAGCGACTCATAGGCAGTGCCTTGGTTAAGGGAACTGCCTTGAAATTTTAGTAGTTTTAAATAAGAACCGTCTATCAAAGAATTACACAAAAGGAACTTACACGAGAGCATTAACTCTAGGGCATTGGAGAAACTATGATTTCTGAACCGAGTCCAATGACCAGTTCCACTGTCTATTAGCGGTAATAAACAGAACCATTCAAGACTTCATAGAAATTTTAGAGTTGGTTTTTCTGGAGTACCAGCATGTAATTTTAAATCAAGATTGAAGGGGAAAAAAGACCAGATTGTGAAGGTTACAGCTCTAGAAAATAAAAGTTGAGACAAACCTTATAGGGATCAGCCAGCGGATGATGAACAGGAATCTCCAACACGGTTGACAAGCCATCGTTTTCTTTCTGCTCAGCCTCAGCATATTGTTCCTCAGGCTTATATGGCACCCCATCAAGTAGTTCTTTCTGAAAATTTCTCTCCTCATCCACAAGAGCATTCTACGTTAGAAGAAAAGACATAATTGTAGCTTGTGCATACTAATAAAAAGTAACAACATCATAGGACATGAAAGAAAATGGATATTGGACATCTTACACTAACCTTTTCCTTATCTTCAATCTGATTCTGAACTGTATAATCTACTTGTTCTTCATCGTCTAATTCCCCAAAAATATCACGGATTACAGCTGCTATATGTGAAATTTGATCATCATCTTTTCTATCACCTGATGATCTACTGCGAGGGGAAAAGAAATGACTATAATAAGGATCAGAGGATCTGTTTCGAATTAAATTGAAATCAGATTTGAAACAATGGTATGCAGGAAATCAGACTTAATATCTCCCAATAAATTTTCACTTTTTCTGAGGGCAGACTTTTCAATAGGGTTCTCTTACTCATTGAAACCCCGAGCAGACAACAAATAAAGAAGAATGAAATTATTTGTAGGAGATTTAATACACTAATCGATTACCTTCCTTCATTTTCTCTTTCATTGCCAGAACAAACTTCCAGAGAACTTGGATTTTTGAACTTATTCTCTTTACGACTATGATTGATATTCTTGGGCTCACCATCCCATTCCAATCCTGCCTCTCTCTGACCTCTTCTGCCCATGCCTTTGGACTGGGTCCGTCCATCCTCTTCATTCTGAAAGGAAAATGGTCATACTAATGATAAGTTCAAGATAGAAATGAGAATACACGTATGATTCAACTTTATAAACCATGTCATATAAAAGGAAGACGAAAGAGATACATTTTCTGAATCCTATGGTCATTAGTAAATTAATAGCAATTGCGCTAGAGCTCAATACATCTGCAAAAATGCTTCCTGAAGCAATAAATTCCAACAATGCAGCCCAACTACCCATTTCAACGATCAAGCTCCTATTTCAACAAGAGGATTTTCCTAGTTTATTACAATTTACTAACCTTTAGATAAATAGAATTCAAGAAACGAAGAGCCACTAATCACAGATAATTTATGTTAAACCTTCCTGACCAGACAGGCTCCTCTATGTGATCCTTCATCATAATGCACAGATCCAGTTAAGTTGTTATTTAATCTAGTTGACAGCCATGGTATCATGATTCATTTATGCAAAGTTTCTGGAAAGGGAAAAAATTATTCCTCCTAATAAGTCAAATTCTCTCAATCATAATAGCGTCCCTTTCACTCATAAACTTCCTCACAGTGACTGCAATCACAGGCTAAAACGACAAGCAAGTAAATTTCACTGTGTATACAATAAAAACTAACAAGAATGGTGATATCCAAGTCAAGTAATCCATCTCAGCTGGAATTCGACAAAATGTTGAACCCCACC